CGGTAGCACTATCTGAACAAGTTTTATGGATGCCCACAAGACAGATGCAACCTCGTGGTGCTCAAAGACACACTTAAGAAAATGCAAAAGTTCTTCTCGCTGCAAGAAACTGGAGAAATTGATGCCAAAACCGTGGAAACCATGAAAAAACCTCGCTGCGGCGTCCCAGATGTGGCCAACTACAACTTCTTCCACAGGAAGCCCAAGTGGCAGAAGAAGGACATTACATACAGGTCAAACACCTCAAACTCCTACATTTTTTCTTCTTCTGAGGAAACTAACAAAATGAATGATATGAATAATGGAAGTGGGTAGGCTACCAGTTTGCAAACCTTGCACCAGTTCTGGATACTGTATGGTATCGGAATTAGTCAACTGGGTCCTAAATCACACTGTATTTGTTTTAGTTAGCTACTAAAGGATGCATCACGTCATTACCTACAGTAATTCAGTGCACAGGGTGTTGTTTGCCAGTTAAGATGAATCAAAGTAAAGAATTGTGAAATCCTACTTGCTTCCATCTGACTCACAAACCACCCCCACCCCACCCCTTTCCACCTCAAGTCCTCCCCTCTCTGTCTGAAGAGTCTGAAGTGCTTGCATCTTATGTCTTGCTAACACCAACATTCCTGCACAGTATGTGTCAGCTCCTTTGTTATGCTTTTGTGTTAGCTTTACAGCAGTGTGGATAAAGTTTATTTAGTTTAGAGGTTTTTGTGACCTGATAGGCTCAGCCTGCTTTTATGTTTCTTTCTTTCTTTTTTTTATTTACTCTTTAGTTCTGAGGTTTATTTGTTCTCAAAGAAGATTGCAAGCCTAAAACAATAACATGTATATGCTCTTAGACTGTTTTTTTTTTTTTTAGAAAAGGAATTTAGATGTCATGCACAGTTGCTTGTGGTTTTGTTGCTGAGTGCTGTTTTCAGGGAACACTTTCTCAGATGACTCATTTTGTCCAGCCTTTTTTCCATGATCTGTATAACGAGAGTTCTACATGCCTTGCAAAAGTGCAGACAAGCAACTTGGCTGGACTGGTTAACCAAACTTTTTGTTTTCATATTATTTCCCTTGGTTTTGTCTGGATTATCTTTTTTTTTTTTTTTTTTCATTTGTTTTTATAATCATGATCTGTGATTCGGTTACAGAATTCTGGGTTACTCTCCAGATCTGGATGAAGAAGTCATAAATGATGCTTTCTTCAGAGCTTTTAAAGTATGGAGCGATGTCACGCCACTCACTTTCACCCGAATCATGGATGGGGAGGCAGACATCATGGTTAATTTTGGCCGCAATGGTACGCCATTTGTATACCATTCTTCAGAATTACACAGAAGGTTTCTCTATAGTAAAATCTTGCAGTAATGCCCTCAAATGTCAACTAACTTTAGTTTCATTGCAATAAAAAACAATATTTTGTCAAAAGTCTTTCTTTTTTTGACAAACAGGCACATTGGTAAGCAGAAAAAAATGAAGAAAAGTTCACTGGCCAGTAAACTAATGTCAATTGTGTAATGAAACGTGTTTTGTAGTGACTCTGCACTCTACCAACCTACATTTCAAAAGCTTATAATAAAACAGTGGGAACTGTGGTCTCAACACAAAACGTTCCAGTCATTCCAGCTAAAATAAGCACCTGATACTTACAGTGTTGCAATATTGTACTGTCTAGCCATGAACATGCCCACCGAGAAAGATTCTAGCAATTACAGTAGAAGGCTAACAAAAATACATGTCTCGAATTTTACAGGACATGGCACTGTTGTTATCAGAACAAACACTGTAGTACATACGCATCACATTGTAGCAGAAAATGCAAACCGTTTATTTTTGGTTTGTCAACAGAGCATGGTGATGGTTATCCTTTTGATGGCAAGGATGGTCTCTTGGCTCATGCCTTTGCCCCTGGGCCAGGAATTGGGGGAGACTCGCATTTCGACGACGATGAACAGTGGACTTTGGGAGAAGGACAAGGTAAAAGGAAAAAACATTTCTTAAAATAATTTATAGATTCTTCTAGATTGACTTTAGCCTCAATAATTTGTTATTGGTCAAATTTTTCATATTTCGTTGGCCCAAAAAATGTAGAGTGGTGCCAAACGTTCTCACTAAAACAGTTGTTCACTTGCTGCAAAACTGTAAACACTACTGCACATCAAAAAGAAAAAAATTGTATAGGTCTTCTGGACGGGYTCTTCTCTAATGAAACGTTTCGTCTCTCCTCCAAGAGACTTCTTCAGTCTGAGAGTTTCAGGCAAAATTCAGGCTTTTAAGCCCTGCCTCCATGTGACYGATACTCACATCACATGGCTATCGTTGACACCTAATTAACACTTATTGTTAACAGGGGGTGGAGTGATACTGGCAATAGCCGTGCTGTAGGAGGGGGACAACTGGAAACGGAGGCCTCCACCTCTGTTTAATGATGGACGGTCTTTCTTCACAAAAACTTTCTTCACTACTACACATCATTCACACTACAATAAAAAACAAAACAGAGTGTTCAGGGTGAGACTGTGTAAAAATGAAAAYTCATCTCACTCTTCYTTAGATTGGTTGTTTTTTGTACAGTGCCCTATGATGTTTGCAGTGACTTGGAGCTGTTTAATTAAACTGAATTGAATTGTGWTTTATTTTTATTATGAAACTACACCATAATCATTGAGCAGCATCAGGTTGTTGAGCTGAGTTAGGCCTTCGAGAACTCAGTCTATGGGGATCAAGCGGAMATTGTCGATGCTCTCAAAGTTGACAYTGTCAGCAATGACCCTCTCATTGATTACTCAGAGTCTGATTGTTTGTTCTCCCAAACCACATCTACAATGACAGCTTCTTGCACCGGTGTAAATATGACAACCCTCTCACCCAATTAGCATTCTTTCCACTAAAGAAACACACATTTTACAGTACAAACTTATTCATGTACTCTTAAAAAACATGCATTCATTAAACATACCAATGGACATGTTTCACAGACTATTTGTACATCAGGGATACTGAGATGACACCTAGTCTACTATACTGTAAATATTTACTGTRGTGACCAACACAGCAATACAGTTACACCTGTTGTCTTCTCTGAAGGACCAAATGACATGRCCAATGACTGTTGCTTCCATCTTGTCCATAATGACGGTGCATGGTAGTCTTGCTCTCCCTCCTTGCCCCCCACCTCTTCCTGCTTGGCCTGCTCCTGTCCYTTCTATGATTCAAACTCTACTTCATTTCCCACCACTCGTTGTGGTAGTTTGGAACCTTCAACACACTGCAATCTGAACTGGCCTTTATAGGTGTGGTCACATCATTTGCAGCAAGTGTCCTCAGTTTTGAGTTGTTGTGTTTGATGAATAAAACCAGGTCTCTTCATTGTGTTTAAGTATTGCTGATGTGTTTAGAGTTATGAGAAAAGGAGGATGGAGTTTTGTGAATTGTGTCTATGGTGGCAAATGGGGGCTAGTTTAATTAAATATGTTTATTGGTAATTTGGTTTATAGAACTGGGTTTTGGGGTTTAGCTTTAGTGAAAACTGTTAATAATACTGTAAATAACAATAATATGCTATGTTAAATTCAATAAAGTGCACATTTTTTGCATTTGTATATAATGACAATAACCCCTAGGAGACCCCAGGGCAGATMCAGACTTTACAGGGAAAAAATATATTCTTGAGATAATTGCAGGACTATTTAAAGGGAGATATATTTTTTTAGCCTGGGAATGTTTTGTGGTCTCCCAGGAGGAGCTGAATGGTGTACCTTGGGGGAGGAATGTTTAGTTGTTCCTGGTGGACCTCATGTCCAGATTACATAAGGACAAATGTATTTACAGTATGTATGTATGTTGACAGTGCTCCAATTATTTCTTTAAATTACATTATTTCATAACTTTACAACTTCAGCACAAACCCTTTTAAATCTGTTTTGTAGGTCAATAAAGTTTCACATAAAAAAAAACAAAAAAAAAAACAATGAAGTTTCACAGTAGGTGATGTCTTAAATGAACTCACATGTTCCAGATGTACCTTTCTTTATTGTTTCACAGTGTGTTTTGTCTTTTACGAACTCACATGTTCCAGATGTACCTTTCTTTATTGTTTCACAGTGTGTTTTGTCTTTTACTGTGAATAAAGAAAAGTAAAAAAAGTGATTTTCTATTTGAAAAAATAATAATAATACAATTGAAAACTTTTGACTTGAGCATCTGTTTTTCTATGACAGTGGTGAAAGCGAAGTTTGGCAATGCTGATGGAGAGTTCTGTAAATTCCCCTTCCTGTTTATGGGCACTGAGTATAACAGCTGCACGCCTCAGGGCCGAGATGACGGCTTCCTGTGGTGCTCCACAACTTACAACTTTGATGAAGATGGGAAATATGGATTCTGCCCTCATGAATGTAAGTTTGTCCTGTAGTTTACAAAATGAAATATACACTGTATGTGCTGCACTATTTCCTAACACAAAGTAAAATGTGCTTTTTGAACCCMAAAGCCTTGTGTTGTTTCCCATTTGCATTTTTAACCTTCAGAGTTTGGTGAATTGATGCAGTATTCTAATATGGAGGCACAAAATCTAACTTGTTTATTTCTGCATGCAAAACAGTTCTGTGATTTTTGGACCAGAAGAAAGTAGGTTGAACCATATGCCAGGAAGTGTTGTTGTCTTCATCTGTGCTGTTGTTGTTTTGTATTTGAAGTGGATTATGGAAAATTTCTTTTCCAAGTTACTGTCCCACTTTAGAACAGAAAGCTTTGTCCAACACTTTGTTTTTCTGTGTTTTGTTGCTGTCCATGGTACTAACATTATTAGCCATCTGTGACAACGAACAACCAAAGTACACATGTACAGAGTTGTTTTCGAAGACTTGAACATGAGTGAAACCTGTTCACACTGGAGCGCATTCTGTTAAGATTTTACAGTAATYGTGTTTTCTTTCATCTTTGAAAGTCTTTATTTCAAATGATCACTCAGCGCTGTATTTTTCTTATTTTATTTTATTTAAATAATCTTCCCAATCTAATGTTTTATACAATCTAACTGTGTTTATTGCCTTGTTTTACAGTACTTTTCACACTGGGTGGGAACGGAGATGGTGCTCCATGTAAATTCCCCTTCACCTTTCAGGGGGTGAAGTATGACAGCTGCACCACTGAGGGCAGGGATGATGGTTACCGCTGGTGCGCCACAACTGAGGACTATGACCGTGACACAAGCTATGGATTCTGCCCAGAAACAGGTAAGTAGGATCCTCTAGTGTCTCAACATACAACAGTCTAGGATCCTGTTTTGAATTTGGTAGTATCGCTGAATACATAGCCTACTTTCCCATGTAATTTCATGAATAAGCATTTTTTACATTGTTCTTTATGCACATATATATATTTGTAGTGAGGACTGTTTATTTCCTATTCTGTCACTGTGATGAGTTTTACTGTTCAGGTAAAGCAGTAGAGGAGGGATATGAAAGGGACTGGTGAGATCATCAGTGCTTTCAAGTTTTATTTTATTTATTAATGTGGCTGTGTGGAAAAAAAAGTGCAAAACCAGCGATGCCAGATTGAAAATGATCTCTCTTTGAAAGAAAATCAATATGGGCGTGGGCTTATTTTTTTGGTTTTGTGCCTAGTGTGGATTAGTTAATGGTGTTATTTGTGTTGTGCCAGCTGCTGCTTTCAGCATTGTCTGAGATTAGTTTTGCAGTAGAGTCCAAATCAAACTTTTCTTCAGAGAAATATTTTTTTGGCTCGCATGTATATTTAAATCTGTTCCTAAGAAACTGAAGTTCACTTCTCATAAAAGTCTTAAAAATTGTATTTTAATTTTGCTGCCATTTTTAGCTATGTCGACAGTGGGAGGGAATGCAGATGGAAGCCCCTGCGCTTTTCCTTTCACCTTCCTGGGAGACAGTTACGATTCTTGCACTACCTCTGGCCGCAGTGATGGAAAAATGTGGTGCGCCACCACCAAGAGCTATGATGATGACCGCAAATGGGGTTTCTGTCCCGACCAAGGTACAGCAGCACGGGGCCAATTTGAAAACAGTCCTAGCTGTGGTTTTGGGTAATACCAGCTAAGTGAAATAATAAGCACAGACAAGGACTTTTTAACCTCACTTTCAACAATCAGAAAATTAATACACAAAATAAAAAAAAAGATTCATCTGTATGTGAAAATGTGGATAGCTGGAATCAAGGTGTGTAGTTCTTCAAAGAACTTGACTTGTTTTCTTCAGTCAGTAAAAAGATGAATCATATTCTCACTTGGTTGGACTTGTTTTAGGCTACAGTCTGTTCCTGGTGGCCGCCCATGAGTTTGGTCATGCTCTTGGTTTGGAGCACTCTCAGGACCCTGGGGCGTTGATGGCTCCTATTTACACTTTTACTAAAGACTTCCGACTTTCTCATGATGACATCCAGGGYATCCAAGAGCTGTATGGTGAGGAGAAAATTTACACCAGTACTGTCTCTATTTGAGGCCAAATAAAGATGATGAACGAGTGTGCAAATTGTCCTTAAAAAATCCAATATTTGGCAAATCTTTTAACAGGCATCCCAACAGACAAACCTTTGCCTCCAACCCAGGGTCCTGTCACTCCAATGGACATCTGTAAAGAACCWGTTATCTTTGACGCTGTTGCACAAATCAGAGGAGAGACCTTTTTCTTCAAAGACAGGTAATTGTTTGAAATGTTGGCAAACTAATTCAGACATCTAGAATCAAATGAGGGAGAGGAGGCAGGCATGATGCTAAAACTCCATACATCTTAGATATCCAGTTAGAAAAATCTAAAAAAAAGATGAGCAGGTTAAATAAAGAACATTTTGTCAATAATGTATGTATGATTTTGTTTTTGTCTTAGTTTTCAGAGTCCAAGATATGATGTGAAGACTGTTATTGACTTTTTTGCAACTTTAGTTTAAACAATTTTAATTATTCACTCACAATTGATGCTGGCATGTTGTTGCAATTTAATTGCCGTTTTGTGTTCTTTAGTCTTGTGCTTTGAATGAATGTGACAATTGGTGAGAGGGGAAAACAAACCGTCCCACTGCACATGCCAGCCAAAATACTCATTAATTCTAATCACAGTGTACAGTTCTGCACTGCACCGGCGCCAAATAATCCAAGTATGGCTGTCTTAGCGCATGTCTAACGGCTGAGCCGATGTAGAGGAGGAGATTTATGGACTGCTGTGGTTTGGTCAAAAAGCCCTTGCATTTTCCCACAGGATGGTGAAAATTTTCATCACAGCTGTGAAAGTTAGCAACAGACAGATTCCCCTGACAGACAGGAAAACAATGATATGGTTGAACGGAAGCTGATAGAAAACCACAAACAATGTCACGGCCGTGTTGCAACATTTCATCAATATCATTTCAGAATGTGTGTGTTCTAYTTGAAAATGAGTCAAAAACAAGCAAGCCAGCATACCTACATACCAGAGTCTATTAAAAAACAAAATGGGAGACAAAAAAACCACAATGTTGCTCACAAATCCTGCTTCGATGCAGAATAACTTTACTCCCGGCTGTGGCTTTTATCCACACATTTTAAAGTGAGCAGTGGAGCAGTGCGGGAACTCAAAAGAGTGATCTGCAGACCATGAAGCTCTGGMCCAGTTGGTAGAAATCAAGCTGAGCTGAAACTTAATTCCCTTCAAAGGAAGGGGCTGGAGATGTTTTGGGGGAAAAACAGGCAGTTTTCTTTGTAACTTTCTTTGTGATGAGCAATGGAAATATCTGAATTTTTCTTTCAGAAAGGATACATAGTGAATAGATTCTCAATTATGTTTCTTATTATTACCATTATCTACTGGATGTAAGTGTGGCTGTTGGTAAAATAACCTAAGAACCACTGAACATAGTTAAATGAAATGCTTAGAAAGTAATCACTGWATGTACTGTACAGCTACAACTTTTGCAAACACAATGCAGCTTTACAGAACTTACTACCTTTACAGATAGTGAGTTAAAATTGAGTGTAGTGGTAGTTGAGTGTCATCCTCAACATATACAGTACTTTGAGCACCTAAAGATCAAACAAGAAGTTGTTTAAAACACATTAATTGTTGGGATCAACCATGTTTTCTTTTTGCAAGCTTATAAACCATTGGACTGATTTTGATGAAATTCTCATAATGTAACTGTTAGAATATCTACAACTGATTCACTTTTGGAGTTAATAGATTATTGCAGCAAGCAACCTTAGCAAACACAAATATGTCTGTAATTCAGTTGGCTTTACAAATATCAAGCTAATGTTGTATGGTAGCAGATGTGAGTCATCCTCATCACATATTCTAAAGATTAATAAATTGTGAAAGATCTTTGTTTATAGCTTTCAAATACATGGCAGGACTCTATATAGAAGGAATAATAGTTTAAGATGTTAGAATACTGCAGGTTTTGACTTTCTTGATTCATCTTTGATCATATCAAACAAAGTTGTTTTGTTAAAATTGTCAAGATACAAGYAAATAAGGGCTATTTTTCAGTGCTATGTAAAATGTTGGTTTAAAATATGTTGAGCAAACACTTAAACCTAGTAGACATGAACTGGACAAGAGGGGGAAAGTTGGACAAAGATTGTGTTACGTAACCCTGTTGATCCTGATGTGTCACTGAAATATTATGTATGTTTTATAAGCTGCAAAATATGTTRATAAAAAAAACAAGATTTATAGGTTCACAAAAAAAGAAATCAAACAAAAAACTGCCATTCAGGCTCTGCAGCACAAGTTCAGTTGTTTTATTTTTTTCCCCTTTTTGTTAAAGTGGAATCTGTCTTTCTGCTGAATCAGCGCATATATGCGGCACAACAAATCTTAGCACGGCACAGTGAGATAGCTCTCCCTGAGCTCAGCATAAAAGTGTGTCTGTCTGTCTTGAGGCTGAAGCAAAAGGCTGTAATAAAGTCTGCTGTAGAGAAGCAGCAGTATCAAACTTATAATTAGAATTATAGCACCTAACATTTTATTCTCATGTGCTGGGGATACAATAAAGTAAGTATCTACCACATATAGAGGGACTCTCTTTTAATGGTTGTAAACTCAGAAATGAGCTTCTTTGTGATTATCCAACACCACTAAATGTTGTGTTTTCAATTTTTTAAAGATGCTACAGTATATCCATGTATTAGTTTTCTCTCTGTCTAACAGGTTCCATTGGGGGTGGAACGCCACCTGGGGTTCAAAGTTGTGCCAAAAATAATGAGCCAACTAGGAAAAATAAATACTGAATCTAAATATAATGAGTAGTTCGATAACCATAAGAGGAAAACTATTATTTCAGCGCCTATTTTTTTAGCAAGGTTTCAGGAGGTAATATATAAAAAAGGCTTGTGCTATATTAATAGGAAATAGTTTCTTGCATTTGAATTATGCATGATATAAWCTTAGTAAAGTTGGATGAAACAAATTCAATTTTTAGCTTGTGTAAGATGATACACTTTTTGTCTGTTCATTTTATTTGAGTCTTCACTTTTAAATCCTGGTATCTTTGCTACTGGCAGACCTTTGTCTTGCAAAAATAAATAGGTCAGTGGAAAAGCGTTTGGAGAAGCTGCTTTAGCTGTTGTGCAGCTGTTTATTGGAAATCTGTGCAAGATGGGTCTTGTTCCACTGGCGTCTGCGCCTTAGACCTGATGAAAACCACATGCTCATGAATCAGACCATTGTGGCTGACTGGCCGAGTGAAGCACTTGCACTAAAGTCGACTGCTCACGCACATACAGACACACGTGCTTCCCCCACTTTTTTACTCCAAAATCCTCTCTGTGTCCGTTTCATGCTCACACTCATTTCAACCCCCGGCTCGTTTACCTCACAGTCACTCAGCCACTCTTTCTCCCTCTGCCAGGTTCCTGTTCAGGTCAGTGAACTTCAGAAACAAACCCAACGGCCCTATGCTAGTGGCCACCTACTGGCCTGACCTRCCTGCCAAGATAGATGCCGCCTATGAAAACCCAGTGGAGGAAAAAACGGCCTTCTTTGCAGGTTTGTAGAGCRCAAGGAATTGAAGAAAACTGGACAYTGCATGAAAAGYTTTCTTCAYTATTGTAATCCCATTTTATAACTTGGTCAATCATTTCTACAATTTAGTACCAGAAGGAATGTCRGTTGAGCACTTTTGTGTGTGTGGTGCAAATTTGGTTTATTCCAACACAGTCATTAGTGGTTTATGTTACATTCGCAGTATTGTAAAAATATGACAACTTTCCTGAATACTGATGAAAATAATGCAACATAGATCTCAGTTTTAATGACTTTAACATTGTTCAGGCAATGGAAAACTAATGCCCTCTCACTATATTCAGTAAATAGATTCAGGAGAGGGAAAAGGGAAAAATTCTTGATTTTAAAGTTCTGTTTAAAATAAGTTAGCATCCATTCATTGAACATATAAATACATCTTATGGAAGGTTAGCATGTGAGTAAATTATTTCCTTTTTGCTGTTTCTTACTCCCAGGCAATGAAATGTGGGTTTACAAAGGTGATGCTCTGGAAAGAGGTTACCCTAAGAGACTTTCCAGCCTCGGCTTCCCTGCAGATGTGCAGCAAATTGATGCTGCTTTTAACTTCCGAAAGAACAGGAAGACTTACCTGTTTGCTGGAGAGCAATTTTGGAGGTGAGATGAAAAAAATTAATAAATAAGTTTATGCAATGATTTGTAAAACTGAAACAATAGCTGACCCACCCAACTTCTGCAGTTGATGTCATCCTTTTATAGCAGTATTTGGCTGCATCTGGATCCAATTAAGGTTTGGTGAAACCTAAACTGCACTCTAAAAGCACAACACATCTGTTAGTGCTTGCACAGCATGGGAATTTCTCGTGCTGTTGACTCACTGTTTTACCACCGAGCTCTAAGCAAAACAGTTAGGGTGTGTTTCTGTGTGTGTGTGTGTGTGTGTGTGTGTGTGAGAGAGAGAGAGAGAGAGAGAGAGAGAGAGAGAGAGAACGCTGAAGC